GATATAAAAAAGGCTGAAGATACCTCTGCACCTGTCAATTTCCTACTTCATTCTCTGTTTTCTCAATTAGATGTATACCTTAATGATAAACTCATTTCTTCTTCTCACAACCTTTATGCATATAAGGTCTACATAGAAATTTTACTAAGTTATAATGGGAAGTCCATGTGGATGAAAGATACGGTGGGTAATTTTAACGATGGTGAGAACGACGGAATCAAAGACCAACATGTTTGGTCGTCTATGTTCGGATGTTTTTTTACAGAACAGGTTCTTGCCTAATGGTGTAAGTTTAAAACTCTGGCCCATAAGAAGTAAAGATTCATTCTGTATTATGTTAGTTGATGAATTGGGATTCAAAATTGTACTACAACACATTTCCAGCTATGCCAGAAAAGTCAAGACCAGTCTATCAGTCATTCTGTCACATGCTAAAGCATTTCAGAAAGGAACAGCTAAATATCCTTTGAAATATATAACGTGTAAATCGTTTTCAATTCCACAGAGAAACTTATAAGCTTCCATTAAAAATTCTTTTTTAGGTCAAATACCTTCACGTCTTGTTATAGGATATGTTGATAACGATGCATTTAATAGATCTTGGAAGAAAAATCTGTACAATTTCCAACATTACAATATCAGTTTCCTGGCATTCATGTAAGTGCGTCTTTAATAGATATGTCTTTTTATATAGGTCAGATTGCAAAATCTTTATTGTGAAAATAAATTATGAAAAAGAATTGTGTCCAGATTTTTTATTATAATAATATCACTGAAATCTTTAATCATTTGAGTAAGTTTTAATTATAGTATAAGTAAGCCTTTCTTAGGGTTTTTAATTAAATACATGTCGAGACATGTTTGGACAACATGGCCGCTAGTCACACACACACACACACGGCGCCCCTGGTGATATAAATTAGAACTACAATCTCGTCATCTTTGAAGACGATGAACACACATGAGCACCCCTGTGGCGCCCTCTGGTGGCAACATATTGACCTCGTCATCCTTTGATTCCCCCCCATGCCCTGAAGCAGCCAATCAACGTGAGACAGCATCCTTTGAACGATAAAGTGCTTCCCCCAATTGTTTAAACAATGTCATTTCTTCCTTATATCCCTCGTCTGAACAAATCAGCATAAGAAGAACACGAAGACGTCTATTTCACAGTATACCTACAGTACATCAGAGTGTTCTAGCATGTAAGTAATCAAATATAATAAATCTTTGTCAACAAAACATAAAACGTTTTTTTCATTTAGAAACTCTATGAAACATATGCACTTGAAATCCACTTTGTGCTGGAATTTTGAACAATATAACTTTTGACCCTATCCACTCTGCTATTTTATTAGGGAGAACTTTTCGACTTTGGCAGATTCTAAGGAATGTATACATTTAGCTGATTTCTAATCCTGGTAACGACGTCCCATGAAAGTAAGTCGAAAACCTAAAAACAATCAGCGAAATATGAGATTCACTGAATGAACATTTAGCAGATTTCTAATCCTGGTAACTACGTCCCATGAAAGTAAGCCGAAAACATTCAGTGAATCTCATATTTCGCTGATTGTTATTAGGATAATGATTTAAAAAGTTTGTGATAAAATAGTTGATTTCTGCATATTATTTGATTAGATTTAACATGTAAGATTTCAGTTTATAGACTCAGAAAACTAGTGTATCGAGTATTTTTGCGTTTCAAAACAGATATATTAGGAATAACACAAACTGAGACATGAATGGACTATACAATACTGAATTGTTAAGATTAAATTAACTTTCATACAATTCGAGTAGATATCAGTTAGTGTACCATTCTTGAATACGTTTTTCCTCAATTAGACCCATGAATTAAATTAACAAAACTTCAAGTATTAGATAGTGGATTGCAATCTGAGATCAATTGTTTAGGTTTGTAGCTAAACATTCATAATGAACTTGCTAGATGACTTATCAAAGACGAACCGGGAAATCCGCACACGCAGTATACAGATGCTGTCACTTTTCTTCTCATTTAAATCGGTAGTAAAGGGTCGGTAAAGAAAGATTTGTAGAGATATGTTATAATTTCCCGCAATTCAAGAAAGTTTCGTAAGTTTTTTCGTTTAGCATAAAATGATGATAAATTTGTTTTGTTTTTTTGCGTCTCTGAAAAACTTTTAGAAATAATGTGTGGTTGAAACCCTACTATAGAAGGGAACTACCTTACCGACTATGGTAATGCTTCTCTATGCTTTCCACTTGGCCACGTTTTTTGTATAAAATAACTTCTGTTTTGTAACCTGAGCCCGAGGCTAAGCCATCAATCAATGCTAAGAATGTACTTTGTAGTAGGTGAAGATAAGTGATGTTATGCCTTTTTTGAACACCTGTTAAATATATATTTATCAAAAGTAAGCCATTTTATGTATATAAAATATAATACTACTTCTATATATGTTTTAATATCTCAGATATTTTTTATTGCAACATTTCTTATAACAAAAAAGCTTGCTATTACTATGACAGTATAATCAGTTCAACTGTTATGCAACACATGATTAACGGCGTAGCTATGTTACGTAGTAGTTTGGATTGTATTATAAATCATAAATTGAATATACATATATATATATTTACATTTTAAAAGGTGTCACCGATATCATTTTGTATTGGAAACAGCTGTGCTGCAAATTCAGTGGCGTTTATGAGTTATAAATAAAAATATAAACCTGGCGAAATACAGTACGCTGACATATTAAAGTTACAAAACAGATGTTGAGTTAAATCTTTCGTCATGAAAATCAAGTAATGTTGTTCTTTTCGTCAAAAAAATGATTCTTCAGTGCTTTTACATCTTTATTCGCCATGCATTACTTATAAGTTTATTGATTCTGAACAAATTCATACATATGAACGCAAGACAAACAGTTTGAACCATTCATAGAATAAAAGCTAATTATTATATAACCCTATCTATTCAACGAGTGAAATGTTTAATTCAGTAGGTGTTGTCTCGAGTCACGTGAGCACACGTTACTCGAAACGTCTTCAGATCGTCTAGTTGTCTAGCAAGGTTATATTGTTGTTTGTTATTAAACATAAAGCTACACAAAAGGCTGTCTGTGCTCTGTCAACCACGGGTATCGAAACCCGTTTTCTAGCGATATAAGCCTGCAGATATACCGCTGTGCCACTGAGGGGGAAATATTCAGCTCTTTAATTACGAAACTACTAAAACTACAATTTATTTTACTTACTCTAACAACGTGAAATTATATGGTTGATAAGTAGTTTCATCATACTTCTAACTTAATAAGCTATGCTACGTTTAAGCCACACTAAAAACACATGATAACAAATATTTTAAATTTGGTCAAACAGGTTCGTTCAAAGCTTGTATTTAACTCTTCTGTACACTGCCCGTTTTTCCAGGTCTTCTCCTTCTAACCAATATGTCCGGATCATCCCTTTTCCCTATAAAAAATATCAAATAAATAGGGTATAAGGGTATGGTATGTGATAATAGTACGACAATCTATAACATATGTAGGTACATATATTTTGAAAACTAGGCTTATATAATAAATAACATTTATTGTTTACGACTATAGGTTATATTCAATAAACGATTTTTGCTATTCCTGTGGGGAAACGGGGGGGGGGGCTGCTTTCCACTTTATAGATTGAATCGTAGTTTTTGCCTTATATGAATGATGCTCGATGACTTTGACCTGGTTATTTGTTTGAAATTTGTATACAAGCTTGACAAAATAAAATCAAAAACCGACCAAACATCCATTTACTGCATGTAAAGGGTTTGAAGTGTATTTTTTAGTTTGAATAAAACAGAAAATAATATTACAGTTCGAACAACAATAATGATCAAACTTTGATTCATATTAGTCTGACTGACTACTGAAACAAAGCAAATATAGCATCACATAAGTATATATAAAATTCCCATTACTACATTTATTAATTAGGTTATCAATAATTTGCTGAAATAATTGTTGACGAAAAATGCCCGGTTATAACAATTTATAAATTTTATAATTCAGATTATAAAAATAGCTAAGAACCACTAAATAGCAGAAAAATTTTGACTATTAATATTTCACGATATAACTTTGTGTCATTACATGACTATATGTGTAAAATGAGCTTATAAATAGGCCAAAGTGTCTACAAGGTCACAATATCATAAAAATGTAATAAAACATCATAAAATCCATTTTTTTTTTCACTATTGCATACTGGTATTTGGTATCAGATATGAAATAACGACAAATATAAAATAATGGTTAATGTATAATTAAATCATTAATTATTTATAATAAAATTATTATGCACCAAACTTCCTATGAAGTTTTTGGCGTGAGATGGCTAGACAATCTCGCTCTGGCTAATCGGCTTATTTTTGTGTTGCCAAACCTAAAAAAATATTTTGAAGCTATCAAAACAAAGCAAATTAAACCTAATTCATCCAAGAGTTTGACAAAAAACTATTGACGCCTTTCAGAAAAGCAACCTTTCACAAGCCCAGACTTCGGTTCTTTGCTTCTCTAGTTGCAAAGGTTGAACCATTCCTCAGAGAATTCCAAGAAAATCATCCCTTGGCTCCTTTTCTGTACCAGAAACTTCAAACAAACCTGAAAAGTCAGTTATAGAAGTTTCTGATCCACAAATAATGGAGTTGGTGAAATCTTGATCAGAACTTCTCAAAATTGATATGATAAAATTAGGTAATTTGCGTCCAGTTGCAGAAGAAAGCAACGTACCAGGACAGAGAAAGTTCTTTATGAATTGAGGGTTAACTGTCAAGAAGTTCTGGATTACTGAAGAAGAGTTCTCTAAGATACCCTTTAACAAAAGCCTTTAGCTCCTGAGATCCTAGCCTAATCTGGACCAATCCAACACAGAGTAGGAAGCGATTTAACTCTCTTTGCGACAAATTGATGCTGATCGGCTAACATCTACTTTGGCTGATTTAATTCCTAATGAATGGAATGATTTGTTGGGCTCTCCCAAGTTTCTGGAACAAGCAAAAGCCTTTTTCTAATTCCCTGCATCTGCTGAAGGGTAAAGAAAATCTATTGGACTATTTCTCTCAGTAAACATTCAGCAGTCTGCTCCAGCATAGAGATGTTTACAGAACAATTCTAGTGGTCCTTCTGATTTCATATGGTAATGCAGAAGTCAATAAAAGTTTTTCAGTTAACAAGAATCTGTTACAAGATAACCTGCATGAAAAACCTTTGATATCACAGCGCCTGGAACATCACGAGAAAAAATTCCTGGATATCGAAATTAACAAAAAGATGATTAACCGTGTGCGTTCTGCTTCATAAAGGGATGAACAGTATTTCTCAGCCCCAAAACAGCAGCTCACAGAGAAAGCTCACGTAGCTGGAAAGCTGCTTAACTGATTAAGGAACTGGAATATAAAAAGAAAAAGCTGCATGCATAAACCAATGCACCGCATTGACGAACAACTGAGTGGCTTAAAAAAAATCTTCGAGATAGGCTGTTTCTCTTATTGTCTGAATGAATTTTTTTAGATATATGATAGATTTAAAGGATTTCTTACGTTTTGTCTGTCAAAAGATTTACTTTTAATTATGTCATGTGAAGAGGTAAATAAAGTGTTTCCGTCTATAATAATAACTATCTATATCTCCAGTTATAGCAAGCAAAAGTTATAAACATTTTATTGCAAAAGCCATAAAAAGTCATAGTTGTTCACACAATAAGATTTGTAGACACTTTGTTGACAAGGTAAAACTATAGTTTAGAATCTTCTTAGACCATTAGATCGTCATTTTCGTTTGGTTGTAGTAATCAAGGTATATCTTAAAGTCGTTACATGGCCGCAGGTGTAACAAGAGGTGATAAATAGGAAACGTAGAAGTATAGTTAGATGTTCCGGAAACCTTAGATTGTCATTTTGTATTGGTTGTAGTAATCTATGTATACGTTAAAATGTTATTATAAAGCCATATGAATAACATATGCTGATAAAAAAGGCAAGGTAGAAGAATATTCAATAATCTTCTTAGAGCATTAGATCATCGTTTGTTTTGGCTGTAGTGACCTAAATATTCCTTATTGTGTCTTATATAGCAGTATGCGTAACACGCGCTAATAACAGTCAAGACAGAAGTATTGTGTAGTAACCTAAATATTCATTATTGTGTCTTATATAGCAATATGCATAACATGCGCTGATAAACAGTCAAGACAGAAGTATTGTGTAGTAACCTAAATATTCCTTATTGTGTCTTATATGGCAATATGCATAACATGCGCTGATAAGCAGTCAAGACAGAAGTATTGTGTAGTAACCTAAATATTCCTTATTGTGTTTTATATAGCAATGTGCGTAACATGCGCTGATAAACAGTCAAGACAGAAGTATTGTGTAGTAACCTAAATATTCCTTATTGTGTTTTATATAGCAATGTGCGTAACATGCGCTGATAAACAGTCAAGACAGAAGTATTGTGTAGTAACCTAAATATTCGTTATTGTGTTTTATATAGCAATATGCATAACATGCGACACAATAAGGAATATTTAGGTTACTACACAATACTTCTGTCTTGACTGTTTATCATTTTATATAGCAATATGCGTAACATGCGCTGATAAAGAGTCAAGACAGAAGTATTGTGTAGTAACCTAAATATTCCTTATTGTGTTTTATATGGCAATATGCATAACATGCGATGATAAACAGTCAAGACAGAAGTATTGTCTATAAACTCCCCAGACCATTACGTCATCATTTGTTTCGGTTGTAGAAACCTAGATATAACTTAACGTCTCATTATATGGCTACATGTGATGATAAATAGGCAAGGTAGAATGTAGTCTAGAATTTCACTAGACCATAAGATAATTTTGTTTTGGTTGTAGAAACCCGTGTATAACTTAATGGCCATATGCGTAACATGAGCTGATAAATAAGCAAGGTAGAACTATAGACTAGAATCAACCTAGATCATAAGATCCCAATTTTGTTTTCTTTGTAAGTAACCCATATACAACGTGATGTCATTACATGGCCGCATATGTAACACTAGATGATAAATTCTCAAGGGAGAATTATTGTTTAGAACTTCCTAGACCATTAGACCATCATTTTGTTTTGGTTGTTAATAACCAGGCGTATCTTAGTTTCATGTGTGACCTGATCTGCTAAGTAAGCAAGATAGAAATATAGTCTAGAAATTCCCTATACTTTAAGTTATAATTTTCTTTTGGTTCTTAATACTCAGGTATTTAGTAAAGCTGTATATTTTAGTTAACGCTTATCAGAATAGCCAATTAATTCATCTGTAGTACTGATGTGACAATAATAATTACCAAGTGTACAAAATGTCTCATTTAATAATGGAAAAGCTTTTGCGTAAACATTCGTATTTTAGTCATTAGTACATTTGTTATATTTCTAAAACTAACCAGGTTTAGTAAAATCCATAAAAATAAGAAAGCAATTGCTGTACAGCTAGAATCACCTTGATCTAGAAATTATGTGATATAAAACTCATTATTTCAACATTTTTGGTTGTTTACTAATTTTTACTGAATCACACAGCTATTCTATATTTGCAGTTCTAGACTTGGAATAACATATCGCTAACTCCTGTATCAGAAATATCGTCTTTGAGAATGCATGCTGCTTCTTTACTCAAAATAAGAATTTTTGGTATAGTTACTCCATTGTGGAATTCTCCTTTTATTTACAAGATGAGTCCGTCCAGTGAAAATTATGAAAAAGAGGGATGTCTCAAACTATATCTACATAGACTTAAAGAAGCTGAACCACGTGAAGAAGTTCGACCCCGAATCTATGGGCAACCAACAGACTATCATAGTGAAACTAGACGGGACCAAGTTGTTTACCAAGATTGACCTCAGTAAAGGTTATTGGCAAATCACGATGGAGACCGAATCTAGAAAGAAGACAGCTTTTGTGACACCAGACAGAAGCTGCCAGTTCAAGAGGATGCTGTTTGGACTAGTCAATTCACCATCGACATTCAACCACATGATGAGGATGATGTTGCACAACACCATCAGTATCGAGCATTATGTGGACGACATTCTGACCCACACAGCCAGATGAGAACAACCACAGGCGATGGCACTCCGGAAGTTGAAGAATATGTTAGGAAATTCGTCGTTTCTTAGAATGGCAGACTTTTATATGTCATTCATTGTTCAAGCTGATGCACCAGATGTTCAAATTGGACCAGTACTTCTGCAATAACATGTAGATGGACCGTTTTCCCGTATGCCAGTAAAAAGCTGTTCAGTAGTGAGAAGAACTACTCTGGTTAAATGAGAGTGTCTGGCCATCATATTTGCTATTCAGAAATTCCAGGACACCGTCTATGGGAAGGCGTTCATCATCCAGATGGACCTACATCCAGAGGTGCAATATTAACAGTGCAAGGATCATGAGGTGGGCATTGTACATCCAGAACTACTGGTTCTGCATTGAGACCATCAAGGGGACTGCAAAAGTTGGTGCAGACTATATGAGTAGAATCTGTGCAAGAACTGAAAACAGTCTTCGCATATAGTATAAAAATATTGGAAATATTTTTATTGTTAGATATACATGATTGTTTCAGTTTAAGTTCAATGCGAGTTATGATTTAGATAGTTTATATAGAATGAGTGTTAAACTTAGCTATTTTTAGAAGTGATAGTTTATCACAGGTTAGTTTATGTAACTGTTTACAAATCATACGTTGTATAGTTTAATAGTTATAAACTGATGGTTGTTATATTATTGGATCATGTTACTAGAACCTTCTGAGTTTTTCTCGTTGTTTTAATCGAATATTATTTCATCATAGTATCTAGTAGTGTGTGGAACATTTTAGACAGCTGTAGGGGTATAAATACACGTGGAAAATCGGGTTTGATAAATAGATCTAAACTACGTGATTGTGAGTTCAGCCATAAAGAGTAGATATTGGTGATGCTTAAAGTAAAATCATCACAGATTGTATTGTAATAACAGAGTAGAGAATAATAATTCGTTTTGTCAAATTGTGTTCTAAAGTAACCGAATCAGCCTGTGTGGAATTTGACGATAAAGAGACAATTATTGAAAACTTTGGATACAACTGTGATAACGAACTGGATAATGAACGTTTGTATATATGTTTTACTTGTTTTAATACATTATTATGAAACAAGTGGACTGTGTGCTGTTTCTTGATTGTTGAAATTTATCGCCAACAAGTCACAGACACCTATTGTAAAGAATCCAGCCCACAATTAAAAACTGACATTATATGTTATCTAAAGAGACTCAGTTACTTTCATGTATAAAACTTTGTTTAATGTTACAGATAGTATTTTGTCCATTGCAGTGGTTGAAGTGAGGTGGTATAACATACTGGCAAAAACATTGTATACTGCTTTAAAACATCCTACCCACACCCATTTAGTTTTACACGAAAATACGTTTGACTATTCAACAATAGCCTAAGTATGTTTCACATCAGGTCAAACATCAGTCCAGCCCCAGCCTAGTCCAATTGCAAACATATTTCCATCTTTTCCAGACCACTGTAACACTGTTTTCTTCCATACAGTACCTAAATGTCAAATTGAATATCCCAAAGCACTAGACTTCTCCCAAGATTAAACACTTATTTCCTCCAAGTAGGACACACTTTGATCCAGACCATTTCCTGACCTTTCAAAATTACACTCAAAACTGAGACTGCTTTTTTCATTTTCTAGATGGGGAACGAAGTTGACCAAAACTAAATGATTCTTAGCACAACATTATATATGCCTGATCCATATTTATACCCACACCACTAACACTGAAGGATTGAATATGCTACATTAAAACGATTATAAATATGCAGATCTGCAAGTCACACGACAACCACGGTTAATGTGAAGTTGCAATTGAAAGACATGTACCAGAATGTCATTTTGAACGTTGATATTGTTTGATTTTGTGTAGATAGTGTGATGCCACTAAAAATTGATTGCTTTAGGGAAGGGTATATAACAACAACTTCTGAGGCAAAATATCCATACACTCAGATCTTAAAGATGAGTTTGTATCGAGGATTTAAAATTTCCAAGGCGAGGAAATCCCATGCCCTTCATGGCATTGGAAAATAACGTCATAAATAACTGACAAAAAGAATGCTTAGTAAAAAGTTTGGGCGTCTTGTGTTAGAACACCCGATAAGTTCCGTGTACTAAGAAAAGATATTGTCAGCAGTAACTTATAACATAAAATGTCATGTTAAATAGAGACAGAGTTGATTTTAGTTCTGTATATCACTCTTAGTCTGACAAATGGTAGTTACTCGAAACGTCACTTTCAAGGAAATTCATTTGTTCACGTTGTTTCTTTTTTAAGCCCATTTTTCTTCTGTTTAATTTTAATCAACCAACCAACATTATTGTTTTTCTGTAAACACTTACGATTTCATGCTTCGCCAACCTATGTTATACGTAAAAGGTAATACTCGAACTTTCTGACAAACAGCTTAGGAAATGTTAAAATAGTTGCTCAGTCTATTGGCTAACATGCTGAGAAGTTACATTATAACAGGAATCTATGTCATATGCAAACTACATAAATGAGCATGTACGTTTTCTGTCATGTATTAACATTTAGTGTCAGTGTTTCACAGGTTGAGGATCATAGTAGTGGTTATGTATGCTATGAAACGTTCCATCCACACCATACCAGAAAGATAAGATTTTCATATGTTCTTGACATTTTTAATAACTCTTAGGGAAACCTAAGTTGTTAGTTGTTACAAAAATTGATGTAACCTTTTGTTTGAATAACTAATGTACCTTGAGATAAACTTCTCCACGCAAGGAGATACTGAATGTACCGAAGTTCTTCAGGATTGTTCTAGTGTCTGGGCTCATGTGGATCTTCATAGCTGTAAATATATTCATTAATTGAGAAATCGGTACTCAGACGTGTGACATGACACATAAAGTTAAAATTGAGAATTTGAATATTTTTATTAACATAAATTGTGCATTAAACTTTAGATAAATTAAAACTTAACTGTAAACTACGTTTACATGACACGTTTATTGCCACATATTGATAATAAAGATGCCTAATTAAGTTTTGAATAGAACACTGTACAACAGTGGTTCTCAAACTTTCTTCTTTGGACTGCTTCAATGGGGCAAAAAAATCTTCAGACCACCTACTGCACCTATTCTGTTCTCTCGTATGGCTTGTTGCATGTCAGTGACTTGAATTTTGGACCAGCCCGTACACCACTTGGAGGACCATCTCGAACCACTGCTCTAAAAGATCACGACATGCACACTTTTACCCGTCCATAGCAGCACCATTAAACAGCAAGTTTAATATTGCATAAAAATGAATCATAACACTCAAAAACTTTATCATACATGATGATAATAGAACTAAGTACCTCTCATCAATAAATTTAGTAAACTCCTTACGTTATCTATGGCCACCTACTACTGGGTAAACTGGTAGTTGATATAGTGTTAATTTTATTTTAAAAAGGTTTATTTATGTGAAAATAGGTTTAGTCCTATATGTTTTAAATTTATATTTATGGAACAATTTACGTAAACAAAACTTTATGTTGACAATGAACCAAAACAAAAAAGAGAGAAATATATATCAGAAAACTCGAAAATCGACGTCATTCATTCATGGACATGGCCTGGAAAGGGACATTTGCATGTGCAACTCAACAATTGGTACAGTTTTCCTAGGTACCAGACTGTTCTACTGAAGAATTAATGTGGGCTTCATCCAACACTCAAGACCTAATTAATAGTCAAGGAAGGAGGTAAGATCGAGGTGTACCTGCTCCTCCCAAGTCACATGACCAAACAATGACTAAATTAAATATTTCATAACACACACACACACACAACAGAAAGAAAAGGACGACCACACCAACAAACTAATACACAACTGACACTACCAATAATGAAGACACTTCTCCTTCCCACACCCAAAATAGAGAACACCCAAAAGCATAGTAGTCACTAATGTAACAACAAAGGAACAAATTAAAACTAAAACAAACCAAGAAAGAAAAAGTACAAACTACATCCAAGAACAGCAGACAGTCACTTCATGAAAAACATGATGTTGGAATTTGTCACAGAAATTAGCAACAAGAACAAAAAACATTTTTACTACAATACTGATAAAAATCGCCACGAAACACCTAACACCTACTACATATAATAGCAAAAATAACAGCACACTTATTCATTCATGATGAATAAACTCACAGTTCTCCACGTCAACTCCAAGGTGACCTATCTTCCAAATGGCATGAGATCAAAGATTTAATAAGTCACACCAAAGTGGATATAATTATGATTACAGCGACAATGCTAAATAAACATAACAGACTTAAATTAAACAAATACATTACTGTAAGACATGACAGACAAAGGAATCATCAAATAGGGGCATCTTAGCTCCCTATAAAACACATTATCGATTAATAATATAGCATTTACTTCCGAAAATGAAAGTATAGGATTAAAAATAACCCTAGAAAATAATAATAACCTTACTATCACTAGTCTTATTGCTCTCAGAATAATAACTTAGATGTAAACCTATTACAAAGATAGCATCTTACTAAATGACAGTACCCTGATTTATTCCAGTTTTGCATATAACAGTAACAATATTTTAGATCTCTGTCTATGCTCCAGCTCTGTACTAAACTCTTTCATTTTCTTTAATGTTGGAGAGGATATAGACAGTGATCATCTATCGATCTCAATCCAAATGATAACCTACAAATAGATACCCCTAAATTTAACTACATAAATACGAAATTAAAATTTTACTGGAATGTAGGGGTCGTTTGTTATTCGTAGAATTGCTATAAAATGTATCCAAAACAAAATAAATGCTGGAATAAAAAATTACATAAACAAGTAAAGTGATATTAGATGGATAGATTTTAAAACTATTTTCAATCCCTACTTTGATTGGCATTGTGATCCATAGAGCTAAATGAAGCAGTATAAATTTGTTAACCAAAGTAGAGATTGAAATCGTTGTAAAATCTATCCAGCAAATATAACTTTATTTGTGTACTTTTTATTGCAGCATTTATTCTGTTTTGGATACTCCTTTTATTGGAATTTTATGAATAACCAACAATCCACACTATCCATTAAAATTTTCATTTTTTTCCCTTATTTATTTGTTCAGGTTTTATAGGTTCGTGGAATGGACACAACATCTATATACTTTCAGTTTAGCCATATCCCTGATAGCTATAGCTTTTACAAGAATTAAAACCACAATCATAAATTTATAAAATGTAATCCTTATATTGGGCTACAAATAAGTGTATAAAGCTGCCAAAGTAGAGATTAAACTTTATACATTTGTGATTGTGGACTTTATTCTTGTTTCATTACTTCTTGTAGCAGCATCCCTACTTCATTTTAAAATTTATAATTTTTAAGACTCTTGTTTGTTTACTTTTAAAATTATAGCTGTATAAAGTATATACTTTATCTTTAGAAACTGTCGTGTGTTTATCCATCGACGTGCAGTGTCATCTGTTGGGTTGAATTGGGTTTAAAAGATATTTAATTATATTCATGATATGTTTATCATTTATAAATAAATCTGTATATATTTACCAATATATCAAAAGCTGATACCCACAGACCAGTCAGGTAAGCTATAGTAATCTTTTAGCAATAGTCCAAGCCATTTAGCCCCACTGTCGTAATCAGGTAGGTAGGTAGGCAGTAGATGAAATGTTAATAATGGTTGGAGACGGCTTGAATGGGTAATGAAGAAAAACTTTAATATAAGTTTAACATAACAGCAAATGTACAACGTTTAAAGTTTTTCTTCAATATCCATTCAAGCCGTCTCCAACCATTATTAGTCTCAAAGTGGGTTCCTCATAATCGAACATGAAATGTTACTGTTTTAGACATTTTTTAACTGCTTATTTCGAACATTTTAGCTATATTTTTAGCATATTATTAGTATATATGCGCATAATATACCGTAACCAATACTTTGAATGGTCGGTTTTTCGCTATGGAATTCAATAGGGTGGTTTTTCGGCGCGTGAATTATTTGGAAACCTTGTCGATCTCTACTGTTAGTACTACCACACTTAATAACATAAAGCAAACTGGAAAGAATACCAGGAAATACTAAACAATAGTCTCCCAGAAAAGACTACCAACAGATCCAAATACTTTTCTATAATTGATAATTATTGCATTACAATCTCAGAGTGCCTTACAAATGCAGCGGACATATGTATCTCAAAAATAACACAACACATAAATAAAATAAAACAACGGAGAAAAACACACAAAATATATAGGAACACGCAAAACCCTGAACTAAAAACAATGCTAAATACACTCAGAAACACTATAAGAGATGAAATAAAAAGTCTTAAAGCAGACATATAGGATGAATACTGTTTGACACTTAATACATACACAGACTCAAAAACTTCTGGTCCCACGATTCCCTGAAAAGAATATAAATAAACACATATATCCTAAACTACAACACAATAACACCATAGCCAACAAAAACACACAAAAAACAGAAATATTCAGAAAACACCTCGGAAATACTCATAAAACACCAAATGAACCAACAATGAATACATTATACAACAAAGTTAACACTATATTGTCACAAATAATGACTTATACACACCTATCATTCCTGTTGCACCACTAGAAGCCCAACCAGATAGTTTGAACACTCAAGAAAACACAATTCGACTATTCAATAAACATATAACAATAAAAGAAATATAAGACACCCTTAAAAAACAAGGCCCCCAGAACAAGATAAGATAACATACATACTAATAAAAAAGACACTGCAATTGTACGAGCATCTAGCAACAATATTCAATCATCCCACAAGTCAAGCTACATAGAGCTGATTGGAAGCTAGCATGTGTCTTAATGTTTTTGAAAGAAGGAAACCAGCCAATGAACCAACAAGCTACAGACCAATCAGCCTAGCCAGATGTATTGGCAAACTTCTAGAAGAAATCATAAATATCGGACAAATCACAGATCATCTGGTAAGACTCACAGAAACCATAATAGTTTTAACTGGAACAAATGCACTGTCGCCTGCTTTCTAGATGTTGACAAAGTGTTGATATACACGACTGTTTCATTTAGATTTAATACTAAGGTTGTGATTTGAATAGTTATAAATCACGAGTGTTAAATTTAATATTTTTAGAAGCAATAATTCGTTGCAGGTTTACTTACATAACTGTTTACGAAACATTTGCTGTGTAGTTCAATTGTTGTGAATTGGCATCACGTTACTCGACCCTTCTGAATATTTATCATTGCTTTAAGTGAGTATTATTAGATCTAGGCCTCAGTCGGGCGACCAAGTTAATCTGAATAAGTAAGTTAAATCAGTGAAAGTGGAAGTAAAAGTGAAGCTAGATTGCATGTGAGTTTAGCTGTAGTGAACGATTTATAAAGTGAGTTTCACAGCTCGTATTGTAATCACAGAGATAGAGAAGAGTAATTTGTCTTGTCAAAGAGTGACCTAAAATAACTGAAACCGCCTGTATGAACTTTGACGAAAAGGAAACAGTTATTTAAACCTCTGGATATAACTGTGGTAACCAAATACGTTTGACTTGTTTTGAATATATTATTTTAAAACAAGGTGGTTGTGTCCTATCCGTTTATTGTTGAAATTTATCGCCAGGAAATCACAGACACCTACTGTAAAGAATTCGGCCCCATAAATCTGACAGAAAGCTTCAGACAGTGTATGGCACAATGGATCAAAATTCCAAATGTCCAAAATTAAAGTACCGTGAAGTATTTATTATTCGCTGGCTCTCAAACTTTCTAGACAACAGAAAACCTAGAATCTACTGAAACAAATGGAGAATCAAGATAAATGCACCCAAAACACAAATCAAAATATTTACAAAATAAACAACCCCCAAAACTATACCTCAATGGAGCTCTTTTTCCAGGTAGCCACATTAGGCAGTCTGGGCCTAGCCTACGATTCAAAGCTAAGTTGGAACAAACACATAAATGAAATTAGAAATATAATAAAAGACCAACTTTTGTACGACATCTAACTGACAACAACAGGGGCGCAACAATTGAAAACGTACTTAAAATCTGTAAAACCTATATACTTTCCAGTGGTAGAGTATTCGTGCCCAGCATGGATAAATGTAGCCAAATCACATATAAAAAAACTACAGACAATCCAAAACTCAATAATCACTAAAACATGCAGAGTTCCCAGATCCTTTAACATAACCTTTCTAAACAATTAAGCAAACATATCTACATAGTCAAACATACTTCTAAATAGATTGATATACTACATCCAGAAAAATTTTGACAAAAATGCTCCACAAAACTACTGAAGAACTTTATCATACATGAAAAAGTACCTCTCAACACTAAATCTAGTAAATTCGTTATGTACTCTATGACTACCTACTACTGGGCAAACCGATAGCTAGATATAATGTTAGTTTTATTTTAAAAGGGTTTTTATGTCAAAGTATGATCAGTGCTGTATATTTTTCTATCGGTAGCTATTGAACTGCTTGTGAGTATAAGACTGTATGTTCATAATTAAAGAGGAAAAGCGAAATACTTGCCGTACAAATAAGAAAAAAATATACATTTCTACATCCATAAACATGGCCTGAATAGGGCCACTCGCGTATGCGATAACCTACAATCAATTACTAGTTTAAATTATTTTAGTTCTTAACTCTGTTGCTTTTAGCCGACTTCATAATCATTATATGTTTTAACGAAAAATCAGTGGAAATATTTAATGAAATTACTGATGAATAAAAATAGAATACTTACAAACCACATACAGTCGTTTGTTGTTAAGATCCACTTTTACATTAAAAATTAATATACTTATAAGCATTTATTTATTGCAAACAGATAAGTTCAGAACCTCTGGCCAGCATTCTACCACTGAGCTATCCAAGCCCACAAGCCATCCCCGTCAAAGTGCATTTATAAAGATTTGTAGCTCAGTGGTAGAACACTCTCTATTAGCAAGAAGTATTGCGTTCAAGTCCAGGAAATAAGTTTTGGCTTATCCATTTTCTCACTTAAAATTTAATATAATTTAATGACTAAACTGATGAGTGAAAACACGCTAGGCTCTATTCAGAAAATTATATCGATATTCTGTTAATGATTTCTTAGAAAACGTCATTATATGCTAATCTTTATAGTATTCCCCCTGACAACGACAAGTAGTCAAAGGAAACAGATTTTCATTACTAACTTTGTAAGTTTAATTAGTTTGAGATTCAAAGATAAATGACTTCTGCAATGACTAACTATTTTATAATAGAAGATGCAGGCAGAAGGTCTCAAACTTGGATACAATAATGATCATGAATGAATATATTCAATAAACTATTCGATCACTAAACTGTAAAAAAAACAGAACAACTAAATTATATTATTAAATGAACCAAAGTAAAGTAACGTCAGAGCTTTTTATAATAAACATATTCAAGTTAAGAACGAAACAGTTAAAAAATAGTAAATCAATTAAACCCTTAAACTAGCCAAAGCAAATATTATTTAGATATATAAAGTATTCCACTGATAAATGACCTAATAAATAATTAATTATTAAAAATGATAAAATTAAGAACGTTTGGTAAATACTTAGTTCCTCATAATAAATTTTTACTGAACACGATAAACAATAATTCTGTGGACATTTCGATTTTTTTTTAGTTCATATGATTTTACTATGTATTAATCTCTGATGCCATAAAAAGCTTTTTTCCCATTACATCCTTTCCACTGCAAACCATTGTTTTCTTAAATTGGTATAACTCTTCACTGGAAATACATTAAGAAAAATAATATTATTCAGCCGAACCTTAAATATAATAATTTGGTACATGTTAAGTAACAACTCAGTATGGAAGGTTATCATTTAATATCTACCACACGACCCAGCCCGGCATCTTGATGTGGATTCAAAACATCAGCCATTCCGAAAAGGTTTGACTTGTTTTGACTGGATAAAAAGGAAATTTTTTGCACTATTTTCGAGGTATATGTCGCTGGACTGGACCCGAGACCATGATAACCAACACGGATATGTTAATTCGTAAGTGTAAAGCAAAACGATGGATGTAGCAATGAAAAATGCTTGAAATGTGGTTGCGAATGTGATGGTTTAAGTGTAGCAATTAAGCTAAATCATGGGTCCAGGTTGGATGAGGGAAGAAATTATTCGAAGATATTCCAATCGATTTAAAGGTATCAGCTGAATCGTCAAGTGATTACTGCATTGACAGCGAAACATAAAGAAACTTGCACAATAGTATGGTTAACTTCAAAAGGGTGGATTGGGATCATATATAAGAATTCATAAGTTTCAATATTCTTGGAACTAAAGGTACAGTAAAGCCCAAAGATGTAGTGTTGAAGTTCAGGCAGATGCATGATGCATTGCAAGATGATTTCCCTGGCGATTCTCAAATTAAAAATGCCATTTCTGCAATGAAGAGTAAATATAAGAAGGATGGTATAAAACCTAGTATGGTACCACCATAGTATAATCCATATAGATTTCATCATGTCATATTTTCATTAATACTTAGTTGTTTTTTGTTTGTTTTTTCGTTTTAGAAGTTTTGTCGAGCTTCATTCATCGAAATCTATCGAAATATTCTTAAATCACCAGTTTCTGGAACTACCCCCTGAGCTGGCTCGTGTGGCAGGGGTTAAAATTTCAACTACCTTAAAAACAAAAGAAAACGTTTATATTATTACAATATTTTTATTTAAAGAATTAAATGCACAACAAAATTAATTTAGCCTTACGTTCTCCAGTGGTTTCCATTCTTGATGCTGTGTTGACAGTGTCACCAAACAAGCAATATCTTGGCATCTTCAAACCTACTACTCCTGCAGCACACACACCTAAAATTACATCGTTATCAGGTGAACATTTTGGAATGAACTTTACTCGACCAGAGTACAGTTATGCTTGCAACGTTTTGTGAAAAGTACACTATAACTACATATCCAAAAGCCGAATGACATTCTTCATCACACACATATAAAAGATTTTGACCAGTGCTCAGTTCTTACTCACACACCGATCCAGGATTACCGTGTTACTTTGCCTAAACTGTCAAGTGCATTAGTGTTTTCAAGTTTAGGATAAAATCCAAACTTGGAAAAACTTCAATGAAATGAATATTGAACACCAATTATATGTGAATTCAAGAAGATTCTTTAAGTCTAAACTTAGGTAAATAATTATTTCATAGTGAAAACCAAATACGGGTGTATGTGAAACATATCACTGTATCAAATATTCTTTCCTCAAAATAGTGAAAACCAGAATATGACTGTATGATGAAATATATCGCTGTGTAAAACCTTGTTCGATCAAAGTATTGAAAACCAAATACGGGTGTATGTGAAACATATCACTGTATCAAATCTTCTTTCTTCAAAATAGTTAAAACCAGAATATGACTGTATGATGAAATATATCGCTGTGTAAAACCTTGTTCGATCAAAGTATTGAAAACCAAATACGGGTGTATGTGAAACATATCGCTGTATCAAATATTCTTTCCTCAAAATGGTGAAAACCAGAATATGACTGTATGATGTATACAGCGCTTGTGAAATATATCGCTGTGTAAAACCTTGTTTGATCAAAGTATTGAAAACCAAATATGGGTGTATAATATATTCAGCGTGTGTGAAATATATCGCTGTGTTAAATCTTGTTTGCTCAAAAATAGTGAAAACAAATATGTATGTATGATATGAACAGCTAATGTATGATGTAAACAGATATATCGCTGTTCCAAATCTTGTTTGTTCAAAATTGACAATGTGATAAGCTACAGTTACTAAAATATATACCAAGAACAATCCAGCATTTAACAAGACATTCAGTCAACTCACTTTTATACACACATTTTTGAAGGATTAATAAATTTATATCTTGAGGTGAACGAAAGGAGTTTACGGAGAGTATATGTTGTAGAACTTGGTGGGAGCTGTCTTTTATATGTTGTAGAACTTGGTGGCAGCTGTCTTTTATATGTTGTAGAACTTGGTGGCAGCTGTCTTTTATATGTTGTAGAACTTGGTGGCAGCTGTCTTTTATATGTTGTAGAACTTGGTGCCAGCTGTCTTTTATATGTTGTAGAACTTGGTGGCAGCTGTCTTTTATATGTTGTAGAACTTGGTGGCAGCTGTCTTTTATATGTTGTAGAACTTGGTGGCAGCTGTCTTTTATTGGATATTTTCTACTAGAGATGAGAGCTAATTGCTTGGCGAAGTTATCTATTTCCATCTTCGTCAGTTCCATGTGGCTGACATGTGGACCTATTCCAGTTGTACCCGATCCAGTTCATGTTATTTTCTCCGAATGCTGTTGTTTATTGCACTTTTTCCGATATAATGCTCTGAATGTACGTATATTAACTATTCGCTACGAATATTTACCAGTAAGAAATAATCACACTCAACCCTTCAGACTTCTTATGAGCTAGTAAACTTATACCATCTAAATTTAGCTGTTTTGTTTTTATGTTTTCCTGTATACAATGTGCTATTTCACACATTGTTATATTTCAAAAAACTGTTTTAAGATGTTATAAAAACTACAATAGTATTTTCGTCTATATTTATTGTTGACAAAGCAGTTTCTACGCTACTGTTATACAAGTCAAGCCTTACCTGGTCAGATCCTTCAATACGCATTTTATACCCAGAGTTTAGTTTTAACAGTTATTTATACACACAGAAAAATAATTCACGCCTATAGTAAAAGCTCTCCATACAAGCTGCGTTGAATGTGGAGTTTACTTCATAGAGGTTTGTGTTACTTTTTGTAAATGATTTCGTATAGGATAGTAAACGGAAATGTAAGTCGTTTAATATACTGCATGTATTTCTGCCTGTAATCAACAAGATCTTTAAGTACTAGAAACAAGTTGATTTATAAGTTCTAACCTGAATGAATTCCAATTCTAAGTTGAAGCACATTTTTAGGGCGATGACGTACTTTAAACAGTTTTATGGCATCACGAAGTTTCAAGGACATTCGGGCAATTTCTCGGGCATGATTTATGCCATTTCTAATTGGAAGGCCAGACACAACCATGTAGGCATCTCCAATAGTTTCCACCTAAATGTCGCACGGTAAAGAAAATCATTCATGTGATGAGAAACTACTTTTTAAACCATATATTTAAAAGATAATGATAATATTCAAATTATTTTATGAAATAACACACAATAATATGTTGAACTTTCATATATCAAGTTACGTTTATACAAGACACTTAAAATTGGCAAAGATTATCCAGCAAAACGGAGAAACATAATATGGACGATAGGCGAGTAAATATATGTACTAAGGTTTGGTTTGTTTTGAACTTCGCGCAAAGCTACACGAGGGCTGTCTGCGCTAACCGTCCCTAATTTAGCTGTCAGACTAGAGGGAAGACAACTAATCAAAAACACCCACCGCCAACTCTTGGGCTATTCTTTGACTAAATAATAGTGGGATTGACTGTCACTTTATAACGCCCCCACGACTTAAAAGGCGAACATGTTCGGTGACGGGGATTCGAACCCGCGACCCTCAGATTACGAGCTTTGTATTACCAGACAGTCTAAAAATGTATTTTAAAGGCTCTTTGGTATATAATGGCCTGGTAGCTAGAGCGCTTGACTAACACCATGGGAATTTTCCTTTCGTTCTAAGACTGGTAAGTACGATTGATAATAAGCGTAAGACATGTATATACTAATAATTTGTTTTATTCTATATGAGAATAAAGTTAAATTACTAAGGTATTATTCTACTGAGCTTACAAACATTTTTTATTGGGTAATTATTTTAGTTGCTACTAAACTGCTGTACTATAGTATAAACCCTACCCCACCAGGTATTTATGGTACTAACCTTATATACGTCGAAATTCTCAATTATCGAATCAAATGTTATGTACAGGTCATTAAGAAGGTCAATTACCTGAAAAAAAAGTAATTTATATGTTTAATTTTTAGAGAAACGTTTTATATATATGCGATAAGCAATAAAGCTTACCTATATAATCCCTCCCCCAAAAACTCATTATTTGTGAAGACAATGTTTTTTATAATCAAAACAGATCTGTAATTCCTATGTTATTATTTTATTTTGTATTTTATACGTGAAAAATATTAGAAAACCTTTAAACTAGTATCGAAGCATTGTTACTGAAACACTTCTCTGTAAACTAACACAACAATTCAAGCTTACCTCCATAGGTGAACTCTCTGCTGATAGTTCTGTAAACCCTACAATATCACTGAAGTATATAGTAACCGACTCAAACGTTTCTGGTTGAACGTGATGTCCACTTCTTAGCTGGTCAGCAACATATCTTTATAAGAAAATATTTCAGTGTCCTTTAGATGAAATTTACTTAATTTTGTTTTAGACTATCGTTTATGAAGAAGAAAGTGGCATATTTTGATCATTTAATATTTCATTGGAACAATTAAACAGATAGTAATTGTTCTAAGTATAGTTAATATCCCACCACTCTTTATTACATTTTAGCCTATACTGTAGGTTCAGCTTCACCTGGTGACAGATTGTGTCAGACAGTAACCGGTGTGATATTTTATTCACTTTACCTATTATATTTCAGCTAATTACTGTCTGACACAATCTGTCACCAGGTGAAGCTGAGCCTACAGTACTGGTGTGATATTTTATTCACTTTACCTATTATATTTCAGCCAATTACTGTCTGACACAATCTGTCACTAGGTGAAGCTGAACCTACAGTACTGGTGTGATATTTTATTCACTTTACCTATTATATTTCAGCCACAGCTAGAATAAATTCATGATTTTATTCATATTTTACTCAGTTGTGCTGTGTAAACCTGTCGTTAGATACATGATCACCTATAATTACAGTCTACAACGTATACTTGAAATGATTCTCCCACAGCTAGAATAAATTCATGATTTTATTTATATTTTACTCAGTGTTGTTGTGTAAACCTGTCGTTAGATACATGACTATAAAATCACCTACAATTACAGTCTACAACGTATACTTGAAATGATTCTCCCACAGCTAGAATAAATTCATGATTTTATTTATATTTTACTCAGTGTTGTTGTGTAAACCTGTCGTTAGATACATGACTATAAAATCACCTACAATTACAGTCTACAACGTATACTTGAAATGATTCTCCCAAAGCTAGAATAAATTCATGTTTTATTTATATTTTACTCAGTATTGCTGTGTAAACCTGTCGTTAGATACATGACTATAAAATCACCTATAATTACAGTCTACAACGTATACTTGAAATGATTCTCCCACAGCTAGAATAAATTCATGTTTTATTCATATCTTACTCAGTAGTGCTGTGTAAACCTGTCGTTAGATACATGACTATAGAATCACCTACAATTACAGTCTACAACGTATACTTGAAATGATTCTCCCACAGCTAGAATAAGTATCATATATGCTAACTTACTGTCTTAATCAGTAAAAATACGACTTATCTTTGAAATAATTCTTCCACAGCTAGGGTAATCATCATATCCACTAACTTACTGTCTTAATCAGTAAAAATACGACTTATCGCTGTGGAAGAATTATTTCAATTAGGGTAATCATCATATCCACTAACTTACTGTCTGAATCAGTAAACATACAACGTATGTTGAAATAATT